ATATTATTATAATCTCTTACCCCAACACTAAAAAAAAAAAAAAAAACCTTCTACTTTTTTTTTTTTTTTGAGCCGTTCTGCTCCACTTTCTCAATCCCTTTGTTTCAACCTCAAATCGGTTTCTATCTTCACACCTATTTGAGTTTGAGGAGGGGTTATACATATATCATGGTGAGCATGGCTACACAACATGCGAACCACTCAAGCTGGTGAGCATGGTTATACACCATGGGAACCACTCAAGCCACCTCATGGCGCACTCCCTAAGTCGCCCCCTTGGTGCACCACCACAATCTTTTACAACGGTCCGACATGATCCCGTAAACTGTCCCGACATTGATCCCGGTCAGCTTCTACATCGGTCCGGCATGACCCCGTAAACTGTCCCGACATTGATTCCGGTTAGCTTCTACATCGGTCCGACATGACCCCGTAAACTGTCCCGACAACGGTCCGGCATGACCCCATAAACTGTCCCGACATTGACTCCGGTCAGCTTCTACAACGGTCCGACATGACCCCGTAAACTGTCCCGACATTGATTCCGGTTAGCTCCTACAACAGTCTGACACAACCATACAGTGTCTTCACCAACGGTTCGACACGACCATACAGTGTCTTCTATCCTATTTTCCTGTTTTGTTACTCTCTCCAAACTCAAGTTGGCTAGTACCTATCCTCCTTGAGTTTGAGGGGGGCTGTTAGTGTATGATTAGCTTTAGCATGCTAGTGTATGATTATGTCTGTTAGTGTATAGCTTTAGCTTTATATCATGTTAGTGTATAGCTTTAGCTTTATATTTTATAATGTACAATGCATCACACTGTCAGTGGGCATCCAATGCTCAAATTCTCTCTATAAAAGAGAGTGCATTCCCCTTGTAAGAATATTCAATACAACATTTCAATACACAATTCTTTCTCTTTCTTTATACATAAAACTAATAATTATATGCATATATATGTGCATATATGTTTCCTATGCATGATCAAGAATCTTTGGCTTCTACTCCATTAAATACACATAGATGTGGATATGTTGGAAATCAAACTCAATTTGAGTTCAAAGAAGCGCAGAAGAAGCTAGAAGATGAGAGAAGATTGACGAAAAGCAGAAGAGCTACTAGAAATTTGAAGAAGGCTCCACACAGAACAAGCTAGAAAATGAGAGAATTGAGTTTGAGGGGAGATGTTGGAAATCAAACTCAATTTGAGTTCAAAGAAGAGCAGAAGATGAGAGAAGATTGAAAAGGAGCAGAGCTGCCAGAAATTTGAAGGAGGCTGTACACAGAAGAAGCCAGAAAATGAGAGAAGAAAGATGAATGTTGAAGAATGAAGAGGAAGCTTCATGGAAGAACCATGGTCAACGCCTTAGTAGTGAAGTAAAGAAGAAAATGTGTTTGATTGACTGTATCCAACTCATATTCAAAATTGAACCAAAGTCTATAAATAGATGTTGTGTTAGAATTGTAAAATTTATGAAAAGGTGTGAGATTCTCACCTTATGTGAAAATGAGACAAAGTGCGATTTCCTCTATATAAGAGAGAAATCATGGGAGAGTTTCTCTGTGTTGTATTGATTGTGAGATAGAATGGAAGAAATGTAATCTAGAGTGGAAGAAATGTAATCTAGAGTGAGAGATACAAAACCATCTCCAGTGTGGGAGATTGGATATTTAAGAGAGTTGAGAGTTTTGTGAGAAGCAGAAAGTTTGCTATGTTATTGTAATTTGGTTGTGTGATTAAATAAAAGTTTGTTAGTTCAATTTATTTCTCTCTTTGTGAATTACACCAAGTGATTTATACCCTTCTCCCACTCACAATAGAATAATGGGGTGCAAATTAGAGTTTTAACTATCGGGATACCTATTGAGATTTTTGGTTTTCAATATTTATTGATATAAGTGATAGTGTCTAATATTAGTATGCATATGTATGTGCATATATGTTTATATAGTGTGTAATAGTAATAACTCAATGTATATATTTGTTATATGTGTAATAAAATTCATGTACATACCAACAGTGTATTCAAACATAATGGCAACAGTGAGGATTGACCAGATGATATTGGTGCCGAACACTTGATAAGGTGCTTCAAACAGTATGAGCAAAGACACAAGAAGAACAGCAAGCCCAACTTTCAATGAAAACACTACTCTATTGCTATCTTCTTTGCAAAATTCCCAAACAGTCCAAATCCACCCTTTGCAGCTGGCGAAACCCAAGTCATCGGCACCAGATTTCTTCCCAGTTTCCACCATTTTGCCTTTGGTAATCGATCGAATGTTGATCTCAAAACTACCCTTTTTTCCATTCATTCTCGAATACTGAACTAATAGAATTAGTTTTTCTGAGTCTCGTTGCAGTCCTACTTTGGCCTAAGCCTCCCAATTAGATAGATTTGAGTGAAGAATGGTGTTTGAGCTTTGAGATGGAAATGAGAGAGCAAATGAGAGAGTGATTTTAAAGAGGAGAATGGTGTGCTAATTAAGTTGTTGGGTGCAACTAGGAGAAGAAAGTATGTCTAGTCATGATATGATACACAGGAAATAGAATATTACCAGCAATAATACAGAGAAAAGATGAAGCTATAAACTTGGATAGAAAGATGCTTAAAATCTCAATAATGTTGCATGGATGGAGAATTAGAATATAACAAACATTTCTTAGCTATGCACATGTTTTCCATCGCCACAATTTTTCCATGCAAATCTATTCCCCTTGTCGCCATAATAAAAATATTAATAGTAATAATAATAATTAATGCACTGGCGAAAGTCTTGTGTACTACTGAGTTGATGTCAAGAGTTGAGATTACAAACACGTAGCTATTTCTTATTACCAACATGTGTGCCATCTTTTTTCATGCATGCAAAAATAGACATAATTTGGTCCCTCATTTCAACCTAGACAAAACTTTCTCTCTCATGTTAAATACATTTGGTCGTTTTCCCTTAGGTAGGTATATATGTGTGTTTTTTCAAAAAAAAAAAAAATGTTAAAGTTCATAAGCTTGTTGTTCTCTCCTCTAATTTTGATCATGTCCCAAATTAATTGTTCCTCAAGATTAACGAGAGATAGAATAAGTCATTCATATAGAATTTGTAATCAAAACAATAGAGCGATGGCATTTTTATAATTAAATATCATTTAAATTGATATTTAACTTTAAAATAATAAGTCTCAATATTGTCATACCATTCTGTATATATATATATTTTTTGTTTATATATCATTATAGAATATAAGTTGGGCAGTGCCTTCAAATTTTCAACACTTATTTAAACTTTTTATTTTATTTATTTATTTATTTTGTTAATACATAACATTGCTGGTCTATTAATTACATTGCATGAATTGGTATAGCCTCAATATATAATTTAATTAATGAGTGATGATGCACAAGTTGTAGAAATCACTTAATGCACAAGTTGTAGAAATCACCAAGCTGAGGAATATATCTCATATTCTCATTTCATTCAACATTCCATCTTCTCTTCCTTCCTATGTTTACCTGTTTGATTTGATAATGTTTTATGTTTTTCCCTTCTAATCTATACCTTCCCAAGGAAATACCCACCCTTCAAGTATCTATCTATCTATTCCTCAAGTTTGTAGCAGTTTTACTCTTCTTCCACTTTCTTTTCTCTTTTTTCTGTCTGACTTAGGCTTAGTTTTGGAACTTATTCTATTATTCCTCTATGATTATCAGGAATTTTAGTATGTGAAGTGAATAATGCGATGCTATTAACAGATTGCAAATCTATATTAGCACCAGTTTGCTTGTGCAACATACCTTGCTTGTAGTTTGGTTGAAACAATTTGGTATTTAATATTAATCGGTTACTAACACAAAATATACACAAAAATAAATAAGATTTTATAGAACTTGGCAGTAAGGCCTCATTTGGGAATAAGATATTTTAGTAACTTTTTTATTTTTTTGACTAAAATATGAGGTAAAAAAAATTAGTATGTTTGGAATGCCTTTTTGGTATAGGTTATAAACTTTAAGTCTTTTTAATAATTTTTTGACTTTTAAACTAAAAGTGTTGCATGTCAAACAAGGCATAAGACTCACTTTTATTTATATTTATATAAATAAATATATTCTATCTCTGTTGTTATAACCAGCCTCTAAATTATTCATTTACGCACCATTTGTTTGGATACATATAGCTTTTATTTGCTCTTGAAACAATTAGAAATAAGTATGGAATTTTACTCAGAAAACTACTATACGGTATAAATTTAACTTTTAAATGGTGAAATATATTTAATAATGAATTTAAAACATAAATTGAGGGGTTGTTTGAGGAGTGACTTTTGATTTAATAGCTAAAAAGTCAAATGAAGTTATCACAGCATTTTTTTATTTTTTTATATGTCTTTTCATAAAAAATAAATCAAAATAGTTAATTCCCAAATGAGCTCTAAACTGAATTTTTGGAACAAACTTTTTTGGATAAAATAAAATACAAATACAATCTTGAAATTTGTTTAAAATACATATTGTCTCCTATGATTTTAAAAATTATAAATACCTCATTGTCAAATTTTTTTATTTAATAAAATTAATTGAAAAAAATTAAATTAATTAAAATAAAATTTGACATCGTTAAAAATTATTAATTAGCTTAATAATTCATTAATAAAAATAATAATTTATTATGAAATTAAAAATTTTAAGAAGCAAGATATAATTTTCAAAATTACAAAAATAATTTATATTTTAAACAAATCTCAGTAAGTGTCTTGTAATTTATCCAAACTTTTAAGTAAAATTTTTAAATTTATAACATTGAATAATTCATGTATTAGGTGGTAGAGATTGGGGAGGTGACAGAAGCTTATGACGGCAGCAGCCACCAATTATAATGGGTAGGGCTTACCTTCCGGATGTGATCGGATCAGATGATATATTGAGCCTGTAGAGATTCAATAGGGTGTCATTTCAATAATCTGAATCGTTTAATATGTAGAACTCGTCAAGTATTATATACTTGTAAAAAATCACTTTGATCGGATATCGATAGCTATGTAATCAAATCAGATTTTTGTAAGCCATTTATTTTTTACCGTCTATTTTTTTTTATACAAAACTGATTTGATCACATAACTATCGATATTCGATCAACGTGATTATTTATATATATATATATAATACTCAACGAGTTCTACATATTAAACGGTTCAAATTATCGAAACGGGACCTGTAATGAACCTCCATAGGTCCAAAAGTACTCTCTAATCCGTAATTAAACTGGAGGGAAGTCATTCAAATTATAAATGGTGAGACACACACACACACATATATATATATACTAGCGTTCACCCCGTGCTATGCACGGGATAAATATTTTTTGTCCATATATATTATACTCTTTTTTTTTTTTTAATCATTTCGTTTCTCTTATATAAAACTTTAGATTTAACTCACTTTTTAAAAATTAAGTTTTTATTTTTTAGTAATTTTTTTAACATTTTACGTAGTTTTTAAAAATTTTCTTGATATACCTAATCTAGATACACTTAAAAAGTATAATACTTATATAATTTTTTTAAAAATTCACCAAATATCAAAAAAAAAAATCAAAAATAAAAAAAAAAATTCAATATATTTTCGTATTTTGTTGTATTCAATAAATCTTTTAAAGATTTTTATACAAATTTTATATCTTTTAAGTATATCAAGATTAAGTGGATCTAAAAAATAAAAAAATAAATAAAAATATTTTAAAAATCACTAAAAATATAAAAATACGAATTGAAAACTCAAAAAACTGTTTTTGAAAACTCCAAACCAAATAAGTATTATTTGTAAATTTAAAAGTTGTGTAAAATTATAAAAAAAAATTTAAAAAAAAATTATGAGTTTAATGCACAAATAACTTAATACCTGTTATGATTTTATAATATACATAAAATTAATCAATTTCCCCTTACTCCACCCAAAATAAATTTAGTTGTAGTATGTGTAAAATTATTGATTTTATTTTCATAACATAAAATAAAAATAAAACTAACATGTATTGTTAATATAATGGTAAACTTGCATTATCTTATTGGTGGAACACTACAAATACCTATCAAAATATACTTTTAACCATCTTAAACTTTATTTTTTATTGAATTATTTATCCACTAAAATCATAAACAAAATATAGTATTAAATTTAATAGATTCTTGCAATCTAAGAAATTAAAGAAGTAATGAAAATAATTAAATTTTAATCTTAAATTAAAAAATATAAAGAAAAACAAAAAA